ATTAAATATCTTATTCTCTCCGTCTATATTGATTGAGAGTTTTGCTGGATATAGTAACCTGGGCTGGCATCCGTGTTCTCTTAATACTTTTAGAACATCTATCCAGGACCTTCTGGCCTTGAGGGTTTCCATGGAGAAGTCAGGTGTAATTTTGATGGGTCTGCCTTTATATGTTACCTGTCCTTTTTCCTGTGCTGCTCTTAATATTCTTTCTTTATTCTGTATGCTAGGTGTTTTGATTATTATATGTTGAGGGGTCCTTTTTCTTTGGTTCAACCTATTTGGTGTTTGGTATGCTTCTTTTACTTTCATGGGCATGTCCTTCTTCAGATTTGGAAAGTTTTCCTCGATGATTTTGTTGAATATGTTTTCGGCACCTTTGAGCTGGGCTTCCTCACCTTCGTCTATGCCTATTATTCTTAGGTGTGGCCTTTTCATGGTGTCCCACATTTCCTGGATGTTTTGTGTTAAGGATTTGTTGGATTTATGATTTTCTTTGGTCGATGAATCTATTTCTTCTAGTTTATCTTCTGTGCCTGAGATTCTCTCTTCCATGTCTTGAATTCTATTGGTTATGCTTGTGTCCATCGTTTTCGATTTTTTGCCCAGCTTTTCAATTTCCAGCATTCCTTCCGTTTGTGTTGCCTTTATTTTCTCAATTTCAGTTTTCAAGTCTTGAACCGTTTCTTTCACCTGGTTAATTGTTTTTTCTTGGCTTTCTGTACTTTCCTTAAGGAATTTGTTCATTTCTTCCACTTTTTTGTTTGTTTTTTCCTCCATTTCTTTAAGGGATTTTCTCACATCTTCTTTGAGGGCCTCTATCAATTTTATGATGGTAATTTTTAAGTCGTACCCTTCTGCTTCCTCTGCTTTGTTGTTGTGTTCCATTCTAGTTGGTGTAGATTCCCTAGATTCTGTTGGTGTCATGTTTGTCTTTCTGTTGTTAGGTGTTAGCTTGTACTGCCTTCTTCCCATAGCTTCTTCCAGTAGGTGTTGGTAGTGTCTCCCCCCTCTCTCTATGGTACTTCCCCGATGGGTTTATGTGGGTCTGAGATTCAATATCTGTAGCTCTGTGTGGTCCAAGCTCTCTAGGAGGTTTCTCTGCAGACAGGGATCCAGGGATGGTGTCAAGGATGAGGATCCAGAAGAAGATGCCAGCAGGTATTCACAGTGGACCTCTGGCCAATAGCTCTGGCCAATAGCTCTGGCCAATAGCTGGCTGAAGAGGATGAGGGCTGAGCTGGAACTTGAGAAGGTTTTTCAGGGTAGTTGGATCTCACTGGAAACTGGCGCTCTCCAGCTAAGACCTTGTTCTTTGGCAGAGGCCAGGATTTGGGGGTCAAGGATCTTGCCCACAGGAACTCTGAGTGGACCCTCAGAGATAGGCGGATCTCTGGGATGTGCCCAGGACTCCAGCAGAGGACTGGAGGTGGGGTCAGAGACCAAGCCGTTGGAAATTATGGGTGGTCCCGCGTGGATAGTCAGGTCTCCTTTGTTCAGAGTTGCTCGGAGAAGTCTCCGAAGTAGGGTGGACTGTTGGCTCCACCCTCTGTCCCAGTGCACAACCAGAGCGGCAGGACCCTGGGTGGAGTAGGGCACAGGGTATGGGGGGTAGGCTGGTGGTGGGGATGGGTGGGGGTGTATCAGAGCTCCAAGGGTGCTCTCCATGGGGCCTGGAGACAGGAGCAGCAGGATCAGGGGCCAACCCAGGGAGTTCAGGCCGGGGAGGGGGGAAAAGAGGTTGTAGGGGACAGGCAGCCCTGATTGGGCCCAGACTCACTTCTGGCCAATAGCCAGTGGAAGAGGAAGAGGGCTGAGCTGGAATTTGAGAAGGTTTTGCAGGGTAGTCGGATCTCACTGGAAACTGGAGCTTTCCAGCTGAGACCTCGTTTTTTGGCAGAGGCCAGGATTTGGGGGTCAAGGATCTTGCCCCCATTGGTAAGATTATATATTGTTATGGGCAGAACTTAAAGTAGATTATAAGATACATCATAAATGTGATAGTAAATAGTTGCTGAAATTAAATATAAAAAATTGAAAGTTCTTTCTTAGAAGGAAATAAAAGAATGTGCTGCAAAGAAACAATTTAGAGTAGTTGTTCTTAACCTTCCTAATGCTTTGACTTGGGTTCAGTTACCCCCAATCATAATATATATATATATATATATATATATATATATATATATGTGTGTGTGTGTGTGTGTGTGTGTGTGTGTGTGTGTGTGTTGACAGTCTTAGGTGATCTCTGTAAAAGGGTTGTTTGTCCACCAAAGGGGTCACAGCCCACAGGTTGAGAATTACTGATTTAGAGATTTAGAAGTTTCCTCTAGAGGTTCTGTGGAGTTCTTTGAGAATTTCTTTTTTTATTTGATTAATCATGAATGAAACCTTACAATCCTATTAGATACAGAAGATAGCATGAGATTGTAGCTAACATACTTTGGGCATTTACTATGTTTCTGATTCTTTATAAATATTTATATGAATCAGAAGTAAAACATTAGTATTTAGATAATGTTGGTGAATTGTAAATTTAGCTCAAAATGTATGTAATACTAAACATGCATACTTATATAGAATATATAGACTTCACACACACACACACACACACACAGTAGTGTAAAGAAATTCTGACTTGGCATTAACTTTAATGAAACTCTATTGTTCCATGAATAACAGATAGTGAAAGTAAAGAATAGGGAAACACAAAATGAAAACAGTTAAGTTGGGTGCCTAAATGAATAATGAAGGAAAATGACACTGAAAATAGAGAGTAAATTGAAATTTCTCAATGCACATTAATATCAATTAACTGCCCACCTGCCTCTCATAAACATAACAGACTAGAGGAAGATCAAAAAAGATGAAGAAATGTTTCTTATAAAAGTTTATGAAGCAAATCAATGTAATATCCAATATGCATTTTATTGCTAGATGCACAGACAGCTCATGAAGTCCCCTAGTGAGTGCCTTTATGAAAGTACATGGTGGAAATATGCTTATAAATTTTCATATTAAATTATACTACTTTATAGTAACTATACACTACTATATATAGTATAGATACTAATATAGTATGTGTACCTACATAGTGACTGGAGAAGATTCACGTATATAATTTGCTTAGAGGAACATATGCATTGTTCTTCATTTCATATGCAGTAGGTGAATGAATTACCTGCATAAGTGACACTATTTCAAAGCAAGGTACTTTGCAAACTGTATTTTAGGAAGCACTGTGAGCCTGTTTATGAAAGGTTATACTTTTGAAATACTGAAAATGATTGTTGGCTACATGTATATGTCATGCATATGTTTTTGTTATCAGAGAGGGACTTCAAATGGGTGCTTTTTATTTTTCCCTCATCTTATAAAATCTGTGAATAATATATACTATATTGCTTTTATTTAATGAAACTAAAATTAGCAAGCTGAACATCTTGTTTCTGATGCATTAGTTAGCATTTGCTCCCATGCCTCACCACTAATTGCTCTTGTTCCATATTGATGTTATCACCTTTCCAATGTCCCTGAGACAGCATTGGGTATAACTCATAATATGAGCAGATCTTTCTCATGTAACTTAAAATGATTGTGAATATCCTTTTTAAATAAAAATTTAAGACATTTTACTGTATGAAAATCCTGCCAAATAGATAGGAAGATTACACTAGTGTGTAAAATATGTTTGCTTTTCCCAGTTAGGGTAACTAATTAAATATTACTTTGTAACTATAAGGCAGTGACATAACCTTATCCTTCTATCTATAATTATTTTACTTATGGATTGTTTGTTTGTGTGTTTATGTCAACACTTTAAAATAATTATGCACAGTGCCAACTAAAAATAACTGAAGATCCTTAATCTTTGGTATTTATACATAATCTTACATTTATTAAATGGTAAATGCCAGTTTTTATCTAAATAATGTGTTTTTATTGGAGATGCCTGCTTGTAATTCCAGAACAGTCAAGCAAAAGGATCACAAGTTTGAGGTTAGCCTGGGTTATATAAAGTGACTAACTGAAAACAATTAAACCTATTAAGAAATAAGCATTATATATAAATTAACTAAAAGGACCAAATTATTTCAAAAACAATCCCCCACTTGGAAGTATGTCTTCTTTTCAAATAGAGTATTGTCAGAAAATTCCTTTTGCCTGTGTCTGTCTGTCTGTATATCTATATCTATATATATATGTCTATCTCAATCTTCCCTTCTCTTTTCCTCTCAAGACAACAAAAGATATAATGCCAGGATGCCAGTACTCATTAGTAAATTTTGGAACTAGCTGGTGTTTGAAGTTATAGAATGATATTCTAGAGCAGTTTCTGCATTTGTCCCAGCAGGAGGAACTGAAAGTCCTTTCCCTGGGTGGAAGTTTGTGAACCATGGGCTGTGGAGGGAAGGGCGTGAAGAATCATGTCCTGTCTTCCCACTTCACAGTACTTTTTCAGTCACTGCAAGTTTTTGTCCTTTCTCTTCCTGCTGCTTACATGAATGCTTGCCTAAAGTTTTCAGGTTAACTATGCTTGTAAGTTCTTGGAGACTTGCATCCAATCTCCAGCAGATATCCTTCACATGGATGAAAGTTAGGAGGACAAGACTCAGTCCAAGAGCATTTCTCCTTAGAATCAACCTGCTGCTTTGATTCAGGGCTCATGGTCTCGCTGTTTAATCTTATATGCTACCACCACTGCAGAGGGGAGGGCATGGAATTGAAGAGTTTCAGACTCTTACACAGATTTAATGCCTAGACCTTCCACAGAGCAACACATGAGCTCTGCTCTTTAGTATCATGGTGTGGTGGTAGAGGTCAGGGAAAGCATGTCCCATACTCTTTATAAAATGTCACCAACTAAAGGAAAACACTTTGCAATGTTGACTTTGTGAAACTGCCAGGAGGAGAAGTGCCCTGTGCGTTGCAGGTCCTTCTGACTTCTGATTTTGTGTGGGTATGACCCTTCCTTACACCTGTCGCTTCTCTGGCTTTGGCAGGCTACTACACTTGTGTGGAGGTCATCTTCACCCTGAGAAGACAGGTTGGGTTCTACATGATGGGTGTTTATGCACCAACCCTGCTGATTGTGGTCCTCTCCTGGCTCTCCTTCTGGATCAACCCTGATGCTAGTGCTGCCAGGGTGCCCCTGGGTAAGTGTCCCTGCTTCTCTGCCACCATGACAGTGGGGTCTGGTTGAGTATCCTATCCTGAAAAGGTGAGGCTCCAAATATTCCAAGTGCAACAAATAGAAAATTACACACTTTTACTTCCTGGGCAAGCACAATAAAGACACCGTGTATTAAAAATGTGTAAAGGCTTTGTGTTTATGGTGTACGTGTATATGAAATATTAATGAATATTTTTTGGACTTGGGTCCTATTTTTAAGACATCTATAAAACATATACAAATATTTCAAAGTAAAACTCTGAATTGGAAGCACTTATGGTCATTTCAAGAAAGGAAAACTAAACTATGCCCTTATGTGCTAAGTGCATTACAAACTTCTTTGAAGCAGGGAATTAGAAGAGATGGCTGTTATTTTGAGGGAGGCTTTCTTCAGTATTTGACACACACTGTTCTGTATTTTCTCAGTGCTTATGCAGTTGGTAATTAAGTTTTTCTTTTCCTATTCTGAGAATTTTGCAGGATGTATTAATGTACCACTAAAATATAAAATCTTCAGTAATGCCAAAGTTCAAAACAAATAATCACTTTGGTGGAAATTATTGTAAATAATATGCATCTCAGGCTCAGAGGAGATGAAATCTGCATTACTTACTTGATATTTCATCAGTAATGGCTCCATGCATGATAGTGGGTACCACACAACCTACCTGTATTGGAGGTGTTCCCATACAGATTTGTGTGGGTACACTCTGATGTTCACATAATAACAAGGTCATTTAATGATACATGATTTCATCTTTAAATGGCATGTGAGTGTCATAATATGATCTATTCTTAAAAAAATACATAGTACCATTCTCTTTCCTTTTACTGCTCATATTCTGTAACTTAATAATTTTAAGACTGGTGCAAAGAAACACCATTAGCCAGTCGTTTTAAATATGTATGTGTTTAATGATTCGTAAGTATTTGCTTCAGGTAGCGATAAAGCTCAGTGGTAAAGAACACTCATGTACATATGAAGTCCTGGGTTCCATCCCCAATAAGCTCTGCCTCCCCTTCATGAGACAGTATTTCATGAGAAAATAAGCAAGAACTCTTTCTGTAGAGAAAGCAGGGAAATGTCAAAGTGTAAACATTTGTGCCATCAGAGTTTCAATAGGCATATTTGGGAATTTGTCATTTTCTGTGCTTTCTGAATCTCACCAGTGGAAAAATTGTGGTATATGTGGCCTCCCAGCAAATGATAGCCTGCTACTTTTGGGTTCTGTTTTTCCTTCAAAAAGCTTTTGTGTGTATCTCTTTCTGAAATTGTTGAAGGGAATGAATAAAATATACATACACACACACACATATATGCATGCCTGTGCATGTTCTTTCTTTCAAACACCTATATAAATGTGTACATAAAATCTAAAGGTTATATATGCATGCATATATGTAATATTACAATGTGTATAATATATTTATTACATTTAATGTTATATTAGTATCAATATTAGTGTTGCATTTTATGTATAGTATTACATATATGCACTACAATTACTAACTATACTGTCTATATATTGTTATATAGCTGACAAGATACTTTTGGGTATTTAAGTTCATTCAGCATATATTTTGTTTTGTAGTAACTGTTTTGGGTACTAATCAAGAATATGGCAAGGTAGTCATAAAAATGAATAGAGATTGTTAATATGAGAGATTAAGACATCTTAGCTTTAATGTATTTATATTTCTTTGCAAAGAAGCTGACACCAATAAGTATGACTTATAATACATAGGACAATGATATGAGGGAGAACAACATGCCTGTCAGAAAATAGCTTTAAGAAGCGAAAATTATGTCTAAAGAAAGAAAGTAAAGAAATAAAAGCAAGTCCTAGTCTTATCTAGGAAAGAGTAAAACATAGACTTGAGTCTTGATCATTAGTAAGAGTGAGGTCTGGACCCCTGGACACCTCTTAGTGTACTATGTTATTAATGGTTTTATACAAGTCAGACAGGAAGTACCTTGAAACCTTCTGATGATCAGACTCCAATTTTGATTAGTTATAACTTTAACCATTGCCTGATTTATTGGGGACTGACTGATGAGGGAAAGGTAGAAGCAAGGAGAGCGGTTAAGAGATAGCTGATGGGGACAACTGACAGTCATTTCGGCCAATGATTGATAGTATTCTAGACTTTTGTGTTAATATTCTACTTAAAGATTAAGAACCTTGAGACACATGCTGACTGCAAAATGTATAACTGATAAATATTTTCCCTTTAATAGTAAGTTAGATACCAATCAAATCATTATTTCAAAATGTGGTGAGGATCTAATAAAAAAATTAAAATGTAAATCAAAATACAACCAATAAGAGGACACACGTGTCCAATGAGGCTGAGGCTCAGTGTCTTGGCTGACAGCATCTGTCTGTGGACATTTTGATGGTTTCTTTAGTCATAGGGTATAATGTGTCTATGCCAGTAAATCATATTTACCATGTCCCTCCTGATGATAGAAAGAGAGGTAGGAAAAGAGGAAGGAGGAGGAGATGAGAAAGACACCTATAATTGCAACAATTCATCTTTTGTGTTCTATGATTACTTAAGTTGTTATATGTTACATAAACTTAACTACCTTATACTGATTACATGTAAGTTTATATATAATGCTGGTTTTCCATCTAAATTTTGTATTGCCTATAGAATTTCTTTAGTATTACTTTTCTGAGATTTTTCTTTCTGAAATGAATAGAAATGTTCTGTACTTTACATTCTCTTTTAGATATCATATTGTTAACACAACAATAACAACAAAAGTAACCAAACAACAAACAAAAAGCTTATCAAAATTTATGTGCTCTAGTCATGTTCATGGATGAAAACTCCTCCTACAAGTAAAATATCTCTTTAAAAAAAGTTGAGAAAATAAACAACTAGTCTAATTATAAAGCTTTGTCATTCCCTCAGTCACTGTTGAATGTTTCTTGACATCATTGATCCTCAAATCAGATCTACTTTGTGCTTCCAGACCTTGGTTTAAATTTACGTAAAAATGAAGCTCATTTACATATATTTTCCAACCACAATTACACTTCACATAGTACCATATATTTCTTCCAGTCTTCGATCATTAAAGTCACCTAAGGATTGCTTGTGGAAGGCACATAAGAATTGTTTGTTGTCTGTTGACAGTCATCAGAGAGTAATTTTAGTGAAAGGCCAGTGGTTGTAAAGTATGTCACAGATATAAACCCATCTTATTCTCTTTCCGTTGCTAGGCATCTTCTCGGTGCTCAGTTTGGCCTCAGAGTGTACCACCCTTGCTGCAGAGCTTCCCAAAGTGTCTTATGTAAAGGCACTGGATGTGTGGCTCATTGCCTGTCTGCTCTTTGGGTTTGCTTCTCTGGTGGAGTATGCTGTTGTTCAGGTGATGTTGAACAATCCCAAAAGGGTTGAAGCTGAAAAAGCCAGAATTGCCAAGGCTGAACAAGCAGATGGGAAAGGTGGAAATGCAGTAAAGAAGAATACTGTGAATGGCACGGGAACTCCTGTCCATATCAGCACTCTGCAGGTAAGACTGGAGTGGACAATGGAAGTGGGTCGGCCATTCTCGTGTGCCACGAAGGAGATACTAGGTGAAAGGAGTGATGAGACTGCCGTTTATTTTCTGTAGATGGAAAGGAACTGAGTTTGACATGCATTTTTTTGGAAGTACTTTTGGGAAAACACATAAAACATGTCAAAGACTACCTGGAAAATTTTATTATCTTAAAATTTTGAAAACTTTCCAATGAGTTTAAAATCTCAGCTTTATTTTGATGCTTATCACCTCATCCAGAATGTATGGTTCCCTGTTGATTCTCATTTATTAATCTTTAGTAAGAAGCTAATGGAATTACACAGGGGTTACACGGGCCCAGCTCTGAGACTTGAAGAGCAATGCTGTCACTCTCATTTTCCTACTGAATTAGGCAGCTTCCCATAATTGGTCAGCAACTCTCCTACAGGCTAGATGGCTGGCCCTCAGGGAATCTCTATACAATGTTTTGTTGTTGTTCTTGTTGTTTGTTTTTGCAGACAGGGTTTCTCTGTGGCTTTGGAGGCTGTCCTGGAACTAGCTCTTGTAGACCAGCCTGGTCTGAAACTCACAGATATCCACCTGCCTCTGCCTCCTAAGTGTCACCACAGCCAGGCTCTATACACTGTTAAGGGTCTGTCTAGCCTAGTCATCATGGCTAGTAAGGCTTTCTCCCCTTAGCCCTGCCTTGTCATATATCATGGGCTGAAGACTCATCCCCAGAGCAACTGCCTGATTGACGAATTAACTGTATACTTGGCCAAGGAGTTCTGCTTGCTGCTCACTCTTTAGAAGTCAGCCAGGAGACCATTTATGTGGAGCAAAAGGCTATAGACTCTACAGGAGACCAATAAATCTTGCCATCTCACAGCTGTGAACACTGTGCCTACTCTGCTCACATTCTGGCCCCATGGTACTCTATGTGTTCACCCCCATTGCCCTCCCTTGAATTCTAGAAAACATGCTACACTTGGAATTTGGGGGCAGAAAAGTAAACTATTTTTTCTAATTGAATATATGACTTTTTGTTTTGCCTTTTTTTTTGTATTTTTCAATCAGTACATTAATTTTCAAGCTTGAAGCCCCAACCTTCTGCCTATCTATAGCCTCCACATTGAGAGAAGCTTATTTATGCCACGTGACCTTTTTATACTGTATTACTGCTCCTGAAGAAGTGCTTCATTAATGTAGTTTTGTGACTTAAGTATCCTTTGCTATAACTTCCTCTTCTCTATCAATCACGTCTATTACATACATGAAGCAAGTTTCTTATAGATGGCATAATTGTTGTACAGATTTTACTTCACCAATCTCATGTTTTAATTGGTTATATTGAGAATATATATATATATACATATATATGTTTATATATATTCACACATATACACACACAATACATACATACATACACACACACACACACACACACACACACACACACACACACACACATATATATATAGTTTCCAGAGTTTCTCTGTATAGTTTTGGAGTCCATCCTGGAACTCACTCTGCAGCCCAGGTTGGCCTTGAACTCACAGAGATCTGCCTACGTCTGCCTCCAAGTATTGGTAATAAAAGCATGTGCCACCACCGGTCCAGCCCAAGATGTAATATTTTTATAATTGTTGATGCTTTGATGCCTGTGTAGATCTATGTATTCTTTTATTTTTAGTTCATGTTATGATTTTTGTTGTGTTTTCTGCTTCTTATATTCACATGGGATACTTGAAATGTTATAGAATTTCATCTTGAACTTTCTATATTATATGTGTATCCTTTTATAATGTCTCTAAGTATTATATTATGACTTTAATGGCTGCTTTAGATATTATAGTATGAAGATACAACTTATTATGATCCAAAGGTGACATCATCTTACTGGCTGTGTGATATAAGAAAACAATAGGTTCCTTTTCATCCCTCTATTTACTTGTATTCACAAATCCACACTTGTCCTAAACAGTTCTTCAACATTCACTTGGATAGCAGAATTATGATTTTTTGATTCCTTTCCAGATACAATTTATAAAAGCCATATTATGTATGCATTATTGGGTTGTCCCTTCTTTGTCATTTGTTTAGAAAGAGCAAGCTCCTTTGGAGGCTTTTTGTATTTTTCTGTTAGTATTTATAGATACCATCATCTTTAACTCCAAATCAGAAAATGTAAGGCAAAAGAACATGAAAGATTTCCTTATAGTGTGACTCCTTGGGTTTAGAGGCTCAGGGTCTAGCCCCTGCCCTGGAACTTTGCAGTGGTCCTCATCAAGATAGTGTTCCTCCTTTTCCTCTTTTGCTCCTCCTGCTCCTCCCTTCTTCCTTCTTTGTCCTTCCTCCTCCCCTATTAGCACTTCCTTCTTTAAATAGTGATCCTTTCCAGACCACTACTAATTCCTACTTTTTAATTAAAAAAATTATTTTTCATTTTACATATCAACCCCAGTTCTCCCTCCATCTCTTGCCAAACTCTTCCCTCCTTTCTCATCTCCTATTCAGTCCTCATAGCTGGTAAGTCCTTCCTTGGCAAGTCAACAAAGTATGGCATACCAAGTTGAGGCAAGACCAAGCCCCTCCCTCCTGTATCAAAGCTGATCAAAGCATCCCACCATAGGAAGTGGGCTGAGAAAAGCCAGATCACACCCCTGGGATAGGTCCCGGTGCCATTGCCAGCCTCCCACCAACAGATCAAGTCATATACCTGTCATACACATTCAGAGGGTCTAGTTCCATTCCCTGCAGGTTCTCGAGCTGTCAGTCCATAATCCATGTGCACTCTCTAGTTCTGGTCAACTGTAGAATATAATTGAAGGTACTATTCCTTTCTATGCCTCCTGATGTTGATTCTCTTAAAGTCTTGTGAATATAAAACCCAGGGTTTTCATGGAACTGTGTGGGAGGAAAAGAAAAAGAAGTCTGCTCTCTTCCTGGAAGCAGAAATTCATTGTGTTTTTCAAACCATCAGAGTCTCTGCTTTTCCTTTTCCTGCACCTCACCTGACTGAAATTATTAAAGATATACATCAATGCACTACTGTTTTACTTTCCTTCTCTTTCTTCACTTTTTATTTGTTCCCCTTTGGTCTACATTTCCCAGTGTGTCTCTGACATTAGCCTGCTGAGAGCTGTCTTTATAGGTTTAGGATGCCATACCTTACTTTTGTTATACACCAAGAAAACTTTTTTCTTTTTTTCAGAGAAATTGCAGTTCCTTTTCCCAGCATTTTACCTTAGTCTTTGCTGCCATGGCCATCAATGTCTGGGAAAGCTCCTGGCACTGAGCATAGTTAGGAGAGTGTAGGATATGCTATCACACCCAGAGATTTCCATAAGGAGATTTTCATCAGGAAGACTAAAAGCTCCTTTGCTCCTACAGCATGTATTTATTTCTCTCTTCCAGAAATACAAACAGGAGCACTGGGCATCCTACAATGTGGGAAAATAGTCACATAGCATTCTGAACCTGCAGCTGCCTTTCAGTTGTCAGCTTTCTGTCAGTGTTAAACCTCTTGCCATTGTCATCCCTCTGTCTATGTTGAACATTATGCCATTCCATTGTCATTGCTTTGTCAATTCAATGTGGTCCAATGTAAGTTACTATTAATATTCTCATCAAGTTTACAATAATTTATAACATGGTAAGTTCAGAAATTTGGTACATATTAACACATGGAATAAAATGAAAATAGAAAAACATTAACTCTTACCTTTTGAGCTCAGTACATCTATGAAAAAATATTCGTGTAATCATGGCTGTAGATTCACAGTCCACTGGTTTCAATGAATTTTGCTTTTCAAAGCACAACAAATTTCCAAGTAATTTCAATCAGGTGATATGTCACTAATTTTTAGTCTAGCAATAGAAACATTATAAAATTTGAATTATAATAACCTAAAGGTTAATTTCAAAAATAATAGTGTGCTTGGCAGGAAAAGTATAACTAAAATCACAAAAAAACTATAGTCCAGATTTCTGTATGAAAGTATTTATGCAAAATTATGCTTTCATCTACATATCTGGCTTTAGGCTCCTGTCCATAAATACAAAAAGATTGTGCTGTCTTTGTAAGTTTCAATATTTTGGTAACTAATGTATCTGTTCATTTATATGTTTTTCTTTTCACTCATTGAACAGCTGCATATACTCTATTGCTACAATCGATTTCTTAACACTTAGCACTTGTCATACACAATGGTTTTATGAATAAAGGACAAAACAAACCTCATGCTCACAATTTTCAATAATTTAATGAATACAGTCTGATGACAGATCATGGGAGCCATTTCTTTATGGAAAAGTTGTACCTTTAAAAATTGCATTGATTTTGATTTAATAAAATCTGTCCAAATTGTTTCCTCTAAATATCTTTTTTTTATCATTAGTTGATGATATCTTATTATAGGTTCTAGAAATTTATACAAAATTATTTGCTTTCAATGAAGCACAAACAAAATCTTAAGAGTGTGAATTTTAAAATATTACAGTATTTTTAATGGAATTAAATTTATACTTTCTTTTTCTACATTTTTAATTTATATTTATTTATTTTTATTGTTTTACATATCAATCCCAGTTCCTTCTGCCTCCCTCTCTCTCATTCCCTATCATGCCCACCGGCCAGCCCCCCCACCCCGCCACAGGGAGGGTGATGCCTTCTAGGAGGGATCACCAAAACCTGTCAAATCATTTGGAGTAGGGACTAGGCACTCCCTCCTGCCTCTAGGTTAAGGGAGTCTCCCTTCATGGGGAATGTGCTCCCAATGTCCTTTTGTGCACCAGGGATACATCCTGGTTCCACTGTCAGAGGTCTCTTAGACTTCCCCAGCCTTCTGAGACCCATGTTCAGGGAGTTTGAGTCGGCCTAATGCGGGTTCCCAGCTATCAGTCTGGGAGCCCATTAGCTTCTCCTTGTTCATATCAGCTGTCTTTGTGGGTTTCTATAGCCTGGTCTTGTCCCCATTTTCTTATCACTCCTGCCTCTCTACATTTTAATTCTAGTTCGGCTCAATGTTTAGCTCTGGGTGTCTGCTTCTGTTTCCATTAGCTACTAGATGAGGGCTCTATGATGGTAAATAAGTTAGTCATCAGTCTCATTATCAGGGAAAGGCATTTAAGGTAGCTTTTTTACTGTTGATCAGATTGTTAGTTGGGGTCATCCTTGTAGGTTTGTAGCCATTTCTCTGGACATTTCTCTAGAGTCAGTTTTCTCTTCAAACCTATCATGGCTCCCTCTTTTATGGCATCTCTCTCTCTCCCTCTCTCCCTCTCTCCCTCTCTCCCTCTCTCCCTCTCTCTCTCTCTCTCTCTCTCTCTCTCTCTCTCTCTCTCTCTCTCCTCTTGTGTATTCCTCCCCTGACTCAATCTTCCTAGTTCCACATGCTTTCCTCTCCTCCCCTTCTCTTTCTCCTAGCTCCCTCTCCAATCACTGCAGTTTTATCAACAGGATTTATTGCTGTTTCTGTCAGCTTTATCTTTATACTGCCTCATTTCTGTTATCATCACTTTGCAGAAGTGACAGTATGTGCAATGCGAGTAAATAGGGATTTTGGAAAGAAACAATAGAAAAATAAATTTTGGTTTCAAACAGCTGAATTAGGAATGTGTTAAGTAGGATTGCAATCCTACTTAGGTGGTTCATTTCCTTACTTATGAAATTGTAACTGCCGCAGATGACATTTTATTATAAAAGTTTTTGTCTTGTTATATATGTATTTTAGTTAATTATGTGTTCAAGCAACAAACAATGTTCGTAAAAGATCTGATTAATGAAACAAAAAGACACCCTCCCAACTAGTGTATGAGTCATGACTTATTGAAGGAAATTTGAGGAGTCTTCATAAGAGGGAACCTAGTCATACTCCTTCTCCAATTGTGTCATCATGAATGCCTCTTCTAGAGCACATTTGTCATGAACATGGGAGCCATGCAGAATGTTGCAGAGAGTTTTTAATGAATTAAGTGTGGGAAAAGCAGCAGCTTCTGGGAATCCTTTTTTTATGCAATTGTTATGATATTGAAGTTCTATTTTCTTTACTGATGAGATTAGATATTAAAGTCATCCGAACTTACTGTGGCTATGATTCAGAGGCTGACAATAACTCAGGACAAAAGCCTCCACCATTGATTAATCAGCAATTCTGTTTAGAAACAGGAAAGTAAAGACAAAGGTTCTGAATTAACACCCCATATTGGACCAAAGAAAGATTTTTTTATTTTTTAGTATTTAAATTGTGGGAAGTCTTACAATCTTAATTGTAACCTGAATTAGTCTTGACTCATGCTTTATTTCTAAGTATAATATATGTAAAAAGTTAATTCAATAGTATGAGCCTTGTTATTTGGGCAAACTGTCAGAGCTTTCTGAATTGTTTAGTGATTTCTGAAATGTTTAATGTTTAATTGATCTGGTAGATTAATCAGTTGACTTTTTGTTGTTGTTGTTGTTTGTTTGTTTGTAGAGACAGGGTCTCCTGTAGCTTTGTAGGTTGGCCTAGAACTCACTTACTAGACTAGGCTGGACTCACAGAGATCCACCTGCCTCTGCCTCCCATGTGCTAGGACTAAAGGCATAAGGCACCATCGCCCAGTTGACTTTTATTCTTTTTAATTGTAAAATATCTTTTTGAAGAGATGTGGTACTTATAACTGTAAAAATTTTATTACTGGATGAGGGCTTTATGATGATAGTTTGGGGTATTCATCAATCTGATTACAGGGGTAGGCCAGTTTGGGCATCCTCTCTACTGTTGTCCTTCTTGTGGATTCTTGGTAGTTACCTTAACACCAGGTTTCTCCCTAAGCCCATAGTGGCTCTCTCTATTAAGATATCTCTTTCATTGCTCTTCATTGCATCATTCCCAGTCTAGGCCATCTCATTCCCTCCTGTTGTCATCTGCCCTTCTATCCCCCTTGCCATCACCCCACCTCCAATTTGCCCCTTAGATCTCATCTACTTTCCCTTCCTGGATGATCCACATGACCCTCTTAGGGTCTTCCTTGTTACTTAGCTTGTCTGGAGCTGCAGAGTGGGATAACTGTGGTTGGAACATAAAGTGGAATGAAAAATTTTTAAATGGAAAAAATTATTACATCATCTTTCACTTTTATGCTTAGGTTGGTGAGACCAGATGCAAAAAAGTTTGTACTTCCAAGTCTGATCTGAGATCCAATGACTTCAGCATTGTTGGAAGCTTACCAAGAGATTTTGAATTATCCAATTATGACTGTTATGGAAAACCTATTGAAGTCAACAATGGACTTGGGAAATCACAGGCTAAGAACAACAAGAAGCCTCCGCCTGCCAAGCCTGTCATTCCAACAGCAGCCAAGCGCATTGACCTCTATGCAAGAGCACTATTTCCTTTCTGTTTCTTGTTCTTCAATGTCATATATTGGTCTATATATTTATGATAAACCATTTCCATTTGTATGAAATAGAATACCATTTCATTGTGACCAATGCAATTCATAATTGCTGATCTGTGAAAAATTTGCATTTTCATAGCAATATATTGCATTCTGGATGCCACTTAATTATAATAAAATACAGCACCTTACTTTTGAATGGCAGCATGATCCTGTAATGTCTCTGCTCCAATATGAGATAGATAAATAGATAGATGTATGTATATTGAGCATAGTGGTTTAGGAATCAATTTAAAAAAGCATAGTATGTAATCTACATAATGTGCTCTTCAGCTACTGTAATTCTGTAAATGCAAATACTTCAGATAACCCTCATAAAAACATGATGTGCACGCTGACTCCTGTTATGGTGACCCATTCTAATGTATGTAGTATCTTGCATTCCCTTTCTGGTAACTTTCAAAGAAAGCCATTTTATTCTTAAATAATTTTCAATAGTATTATCACAGATTAAGCAAGATTGTATGTCATCCATCCTGTTTAATGTGTTAAAGAGAGGTAGACCAGTGACAATCATACAGGCTCACTGAGAAATAAAATAAAAATAATACATTTATAAAATCAGCTTATTTTTAAGTGTTTGTGGTGTCAAAATGCCAGGTAATAGAACAGTAAGCTTTTTTTTTAAGAAGAAAGAAATATGGGTTAGTATAAATACATATTATATTCTGGCATCTGACAAAATACAAACAAATAAATGATAGATGTATTAATTAAATATTTTGAATAAAATAAACTATTTAATCCACCTTAAGATCTAAATCTATTTTCATGCCTTTTATTTGTTGACATGGACAGCATTAAACGTAAGCCTTAAGAAGAGTTTCACATATTTTCAACCTAAATGGAGTGGTGACATGTGGTTCCACATCACTGTCACACTTCAAGAGGAACTGCTAACATTAACTTGAACTGGAAAAATTGTAGTCATTGAAGGACTTAGCTTGTTTGTTTTATTAAGACGCTTCTACATTTCAAGTAATAGACAACTGTTTTAGGGACTTGTTTTTTTTTAAAATTTATTTGAATGTATTTGGATATGTTACAAAACAATTATTTAGTAAATAGTGACTTTTATTTAAATTTTAGAGTTCACCTTCTCTTCTTGATAAATAAATATCTAGGCATTGGGAGCTGACTGACTTTACCTTGTTCACCTGAAAACAACCCCTACTCCTTGTCTTCTAAGATCCCGTTCTCTAACAGTGTCACAGTGTAACTGTTATTTCTGTCTCAGCTAAAATTGGAGCTACTAATAACTAATGTAATGTAAACATATGACCATGAAAGTATTTTACATTATTTGGAGTACTTTTGTTCTTGTTGGTGGTTTGTATGGCCAAGTCATAATGTAATGCATTAAAAATGTTATTTGTGAAATTACCATATGCAATTCACTTTGATTTGATTCATTGAATATTTTTAAATTAAAATATCCTCTATAGTTATAAACTTCTTTTAATGGTGTATAGGCTTATCCTCTGTAGTTTTTTTGTATAATCTAGTTATAAAAGCATGACCATGTGAATAATTTTAAGATGTCATAAGTAAAATTGCTAATGAGCTTTGGGATTCTACCAAGACCTAGAGGAATATTATTTTAATGGTATGGAAATGGGAAAAAAATATCTTGAACATGTATCATTTTTAAAAAATCTGTAAAGATATTTTCTTAAATTTGTTTTTATGTTTGTTTTCTTAGGGCCTTTGATTTAGGGTTTTAGAAAATGATGTCTTATAGTGAAGTCAGTGTCATTATATAGAAATGTATTGGTGAAAGTAGTGGGAATTGCTTTTCTTCAGGTAATACAATCTAATATCCTCCTAATGTTAGATCATATTTTCAATCTACAGTCTCTCTCCACTGCTTATTTTTTGAGCTAAATATGCTGATTTTTTTTTTAGAAATCATACACATTTGTTTAAAATAGGCATATGGGATTGCTGCCTTGCTTTTTTCCCCTCTATTTGCTCTTCTCAGAGGTTAATATGGTGGTATCCCAACCCAGACCTTATGTTAAGTGCTCCCAAGCTCTAACTTGAATATAGAAAGTAATTTTGCATAAGAGCATACAAAATAAGTAGTAATTATTCTTTCCATGTAAAGATGTACTTATAGTCTAAATTCTGCCTCCTCTTACTATCAGGATGAATTTTTTTTTCAATGTGGAAATGAAGTTGTTCCTTTCTAATACAACACAGTTTTATAATAGTTGTTTGTGTATGGAGGTGACTGCTTATGAAAGATGGATGCCCAAAGTGAAGTTTCTGACTTGGAAAACAGATATGTAAAACTTTGTTTTGTTTCTGCTCAAAGATGATAATGGATATTTTCATCTTAACAGTCTCACATTCTTAGAGAGTCAGTTGCTACCCAATTTGATGCTATTGACCTATTTCTTTTAAATCTTTTTTCACTTGACATTGTCTCAGAATGTTCCAAAGAACTTGAAAAGTTACAAGAATTTCTGTGTACCCATGATCTTTTCTCAAACTCTTTTCTCAAACATGCTTTAATAACCTCCCACCATTATGTGTGTGTAAGATACCACTTTTGTAAATTTTAAAGGGCAGATAGGATATCCTTTTACCTATGCAACTTGTGTTTCTCAAATTGCAATGAACTTTCCTTTCATGACCACAGTGATAAAAATGAGTCCACACCAGGAAATGAACACTGATAAAATTCAACCTTAAAGCTGCCTCTCTATTTCCTGTTACTCTCTTTCATGAGCCAATCCAATATCAAGTGTTTCATTTTATTACCGTGACATCAATTTCTTTAACATTATTGGGGACTGGAGAGAGGATTAGTGTTTAAGAATGGTTTCTGGTCTTTGCAAGAGGACCCTAGCTCAGGTCTTGCATCCATGTGCAGCAGCTCCTAGTTGCTTGTAACTCACTTTCCAGAGAATGCCATCCTCTTCTGGCCTCTGGTGACTGCTCATTGTGGAGTTCATGTTCACATACACATAAATAAAAATATTTTTAAAAAGTGATCATGCCATACCCAAAGGATTCACATCAATGCAACAAAGACATCTGTTCAACTATGTTCATAGCAGCACTATTTGTAATAGCAAGAACCTGGAAGCAACCTAGATGCCCTTCAATTGAAGAATGGTTAATGAAGATGTGGCACATCTACACAATGGAATACTACTCTGCAGAAAAAAATAATGGTATCTTGAAATTCGCAGGCAAGTGGATGGCACTTGAAGAAACCATCCTGAATGAGGTAACCCAGTCACAAAAAGAGGAACACAGTATGTACTCACTCATATATGGATTTTAGACCTAGATCAAATGATCACCAGCCTATAATTCACATCACCAGAGGAACTAGGATACAAGTTGTATTCTAAGAGATTCATATAAAGTCCCTCACAGAACTGGGAAGGGACAAGTCCCCCAGACCTCAGGTATAGTGGGGGAGGACAGCTAATGGAGAGAGAAGTAGGAGAAAATGAGAGGGAGGAGAGGAAGGCATGTGCGACTAGGAGGATTGAGCCTGGTTAGGAATGGAAAATAGGAAAGAGAGAGAGAGACAGAGACAGAGAGAGAGAACATAAAAGAGGGAGCCAATATTGGTTTGAAGATAAAGTTGAACACAAAGAAAGGTCGAAGGAACTACAAGACTGCTCCCAACTAACAATCTCAGCTTCCGTGGAAAGGCTATCATAAATGCCCTTCCCGGAGAGTGAGATCAACAACTAACTTCTCCATGGAGTCCTCAACTAATGCCTGTTGAAAACAGGAGCAAACACCCATACATAAACACTGAGTCAAACTAGAACCCAGAAGCAGATGGAGAGGACAAGACCATGCGGTAGAAGTACATAGAGACAGCTTACCTGAACAAGGAGGAGCTAAGGGCCACTAGACTGATAGCTGGGAAGCCAACAGGGGTCTGACTCGGACTCCCCTGAATATGGGTCTCAGCCAGAAGGTCTGAGCAGTCTAAGAGACCTCAGACAGTGGAACCAGGATGTATCCCTGGTGCACAAAAGGACTTTGCAAACATATCCCCCATGGAGGGATAACTGCCTTATTCTAGAGATAGGAGAGAAGCCCTAGTCCCTACTTCACAGGACCTGTCAGATCTACATGACCCCAACTGGATGGCATTCCCCTACATATTGTATTGTGGTGGGGGGTTGGGAGGGGAGGGTGTTTAGAGTGCATGGGAGAGGGTAGAGAGGGCAAAAGGGAGGGAAGGAGGGAGGGAGGGCTTGGGGGGAGGGATGGAGGGAGGGAGAGGGAACTGGGATCGACATGTAAAATAATAATAAAAAAAAAAAAAAAAAAAACGCTTTGACTCCAAAATTTAAGTTGAAGAACAAGTTACTGGGGAAAAGTATTTCTATTTTTGTTTCCACAGAAAATGAAAAGATGTGGATTCCTTCCAGACTAATGTGGTTTGATCACACCAGACCGCCTGAAACAGAGTACAAGCTGATCCTACATTCCAAACAGCTGGACAAAACAGCCCTACAGACTACAGCTAGGATATCTGAATCTTCTTCGAATCCCCCAAGACAGCGCCCCTTACCAGCAGGAAGTAGTTTGGAAAGAAAGACGCCCAAATTCCCAAATATTGTGTATAAATGTTTGTTTTCATTTAATTGGACTTTGTTATATAAAATTAAATAAAAAATACTCTATATGCAAAAAAAAAAAAAAAAAACAAAAAAAAAAACAAAAAAAAAAAAAAAAAAAAAAAAAGTGATCATGCCAATCCCCATATAAATGTACTTAATGCCTTGTGTTAGACCTCAGTAAACAAAACATTCTCATATAAAATTATCATATTTATATCTAATTGAAGTGCCAAATTCAGGAATCTACTCTTAGGTAAGTGGTTACTTTAATGTTTTCTTGTTTCTTTTAAGTAAACCAGCTTTGGATGCCTTGTCTGCAAATGCTCCTTTTAAGTCATATGTATTTCATTCACACATAAGTGTTTTCCAGTCATACAATTTCCTCTCTGGTAATAAATGAAGTTAAAATATTTTCCTCTGGAGGTGCAGTGCTCAAATTAAGTGTCTCTGAAATCCACTCAATTCATCATTATTTATAATTTCTGTTCATGTGAACAGTGGATGTGAAATTTAAACAACCAGACTTAAAATGGAAAATAGTTTGCCATCTTTTCTATAACCTTTAATAAATAAGTTCATGTTGAGTGCTACCT